ACGCTGGTTGGTGGGACTCCCTCTCTCTCCAGAGAAACGGCGAAAAGGCCGGCAGCGTTGAACAACAACAACGGAAACAACAACAACATCATCAGCGATGAACCCCAGACCAACCAAACGTTCCCCGCTTCCTCCGCCGTCGCTAACAGCAGTATGTGTGTGTGTCCCGCCCCCCTTGTCCATGTTCCCTGTCTCTTGTGTAGTGCGTGTCTTGCCAGTAGCAGCAGCAGTGTGTGCAGCACGGCAGTGCGTCGTGGTTTCTTGCGTGCGTGTAGTTTGTTGCCCATAAAACAAAAATGACGCCTCCCGGCCGAGAAGTCGGGGATGCGTCCATGTGACATATATATTTGCACAAACGGTGTGCTATCTCGAGACACCAACCACGGATTGCAAAGGTAGCGGTTGGGACAGCTCGGGCAAAGTGTTACTTGTTGTGCGCAAGTTTTAGTTTGCAATTTGGTGCCGAGATGGTGAAATGGGCTCGAGTCTGCCGGGTTATTTAATTTAGGGCGCGCAGACAGACAGACATCAGACAGCCAATGCGTCTTTTTTACGCCCCTGGGCATGAAAATTATTCTTTTTCTCGTGCGCACATACATCCACACACAATCCCTCTAAACAGCTTTTTTTTTGCAAAACAAAAAGCGTACCCCTATACGGGCCACTCTTTTCGCAAAAAAAAAAACATTATAAATATATTTCGCGCGAAGCGCGAAAGGAAAAGGGTCGGAGAGAGACATCAAAGCAAGCGTAGATGGATATGGATGGAGCCTACACCACCACGTAGGTCACCAGTGCGCACGCTCACACCTCACCCTAAACCACCAGTCAGTCAGGGGATGAATGGGAGCGCTGTTTAGCTCTCATCATCATCAGCTCAGCGGCAGCAGTGCTGCTGCTGCTGCTGCTGCTGCTGCTGTTGCTGCCGCCTCTGCTGCTGTGCATGGGTGCGCAGTTGCTTTCTTCGCTTTCGCTACTATAATAGCAAAGGGCAACGGACTCTAAAAATTGGCCCGAACCCCTCCCACGACGTGTGTATTTGGCCGCCCTTGGCTTACATCGCTGTATCGTCTCACTTGTCTGTTTCCGGGGTGCGTATGTTGTGGAAGCAAAAGATCGGCCGGCAGACGAAGAGACCGCAGACAGAGATCTGACGTGTGTGCACTCGCATGTTCCCTTGCTTACGTGGCTAGCAGTAGGCCTCCGGGTCTACAAATAGCTTCCGACGCCAGCCATAATGTGTGCCTTTGGCCGGCCTTGGCCTACAGCAGTGTGTAGGCCTCGTTTTCTCNGCTTCCGACGCCAGCCATGATGTGTGCCTTTGGCCGGCCTTGGCCTACAGCAGTGTGTAGACCTCGTTTTCTCTATTGTGGGAATGTGTCTGTGCGGGAAGCTCCAAAGATCGGTAGGTTGAGGGTGTTGCAGACCGACCGCGGATTGACTTGCGTCGTCACTCGCTTGTGCTGCCGACAGCAAGCAAGGAGCTGCAAGAGTCATACCCAACGCCTCTCATGATGTGTGCCTTTGGCTGCCCTTGGCCTTCAACATCCGTGTACTGCTGTGCTGGTTGTATCGCATGTTGTGCACGTGATGTGTATGGTGCTGCTGTGCAAGAGGATTTCGGTGATTCTGCCGAGAGCGTCGTGCCCATCGCCCAATCATCTGTCTGTCTTACAAAATGTCTTACAAACCCGACGGGTGATTAATGGGAGATGGGCATCTACCCGGCTCTACTCCTCTAAAACATAGATAATTGTTGGAAGTTCTTCCGTGTCTTACATTAACATTGCCCCATTTGTGGTTGCTCTGCCCCATCCCCGCCTACTGGAACCAAGCTTACGAATCTCGCGAAAGCCACTGGTTCTTACAGTACACTTCCTCGTGGTTTTCTGTCGCTCTCCCTCTTTTGCTGTGTACGCTTGTTACTCCTCTACCTCTGGCCAGGCTCTACGTCGTGAACTACGTTGCCGTCGCGGTGTTCGCAGCCTCCATGTATCGCATCGTGCGCCTGTGGGACGGCTCCCTGAACCGGATGCACTTCTTCCCCCTCGCCGTGCCCTTCATCGGCGTCTTCGCCTCCATGACCTACCTCTTCGGCTTCTTCGGCATCAGCGTCATCTCGGGCGTGATGGATCCCCCCTTCGTATCATCCCCAGCCCCCAGCTCTAAGGACAGGTCAGCGGCACCCGCCGCCGGCCTCCCCAAACGCTTCTCCCCCACGGAAGAAGGCTCCTCGGACTACAGCCTGGACAACCCGGAGGTTATCATCGTTGGGGCGGGGACGGCGGGGGCATCGGCCGCGGCCACGTTCGCTCGACAGGGCCGCAAGGTGCTCCTGGTCGAGAGGTGCATGAGCGAGCAGGACCGGATCGTGGGCGAGCTGCTGCAGCCGGGGGGGCTCCGGGCGCTGGAGCGCCTGGGACTGGACGCGTGCGCGAAGGAGGGCACGGACAGCGTGGTCGTGGACGGCTACGCGATCATCCGGTCCGCCGAAACCGGCGGAGCCGCCGCTGAAGCCGAAGGGCGGCTGGATTCTGTTATGTTGTATTACCCCGAGAGTGACCCGGAGAACCGGTCGGAACTCTTCGGCAAGGGTGTGAAGCCTGCCGCTGCGGCGGCGGCGGCGAAGGGCGGCGAAGCCGGTCGGCGGCCTTGCTCGCGGGAGGGGGGAGTGCCGCGAGGGAGAAGCTTCCACAACTGCCGGTTCGTGCAGCGGCTGCGGGAGGCGGCGCAGGCGGAGCCGAACGTGAGGGTGGTAGAGGGGACCGTGTCGGCCCTCCTCGAAGGCGACGGCGGCGAGGTCGTGGGAGTTCGATACCGCGAAGCGGTAAAGGGAGAGGGACAGGAGGAGGAGAGGGTCACCCGGGAGGTCCGGGCGCCGCTGACGGTTGTAGCGGACGGCATCTGGAGCGGCCTGCGCAAGTGTGCGAACACCAACCGGCCCCAGAAGCTGTCCACCTTCGTCGGGGTCCTCGTGAAGCACGCCGCGGACGCGGCCCCGGTGCCACACAAGCACTGCGGCCACGTCGTGCTGGCCCACCCGTCCCCGATCCTCATCTACCAGATCTCCTCGACGGAGACGCGGGTCCTCGTTGACGTCGCCGGCGCGATGCCCAGCGCCGCGGACGGCGGCCTCTCGGCCCACCTGAGGGAGAAGTCCGCGCCGCAGCTCCCGGCGATGTTTCGGCCGGCGTTCCTGGAGGCGGTCGCCCGCGGGGACGTCAAGTCGATGCCGAACAGGGCGATGCCGGCGTCGAGCGTTCACCGCCCCGGAGCTCTCTTGCTTGGAGACGCCCTGAACATGAGGCACCCGCTCACGGGGGGCGGGATGACGGTGGCCCTAAAGGTGTGTGATGGAATGAGGAAGATTTGCACATCCCTAGCAGTTAATTTATCGTTTGTGTGCGTTTTGTGAGACAGCGGGGGGATGGGCTTACGATTATGTTTTGCATGCCTTAGCGGTGAGACCACTGACCACGCGTCCTCGAGAGGACGGAGCGGGGGGGGGGGGGTTTAAAGGGCACGGGGGGTGTTTTT